CACACACACACACACACACACACACACACACACACACACACACACACACACCACCACCACACACACACACACACACACACACACACACACACACACACACACACACACACTGTGCGATACTTCAGGCGCGCATTGCACCGCCACGCGATAACGAAATTATGATTTCCTGCGACACGACATTGCCGATCAGCGGGACCCCGCGTCGTTTGCTCTATGATCAGGAGTCTATCAATATTGATAGACTCCTGGTATGATGTGAGGGGTGGTGTGTGTGTAGGCTGTAACTACTATTACACTAGTAACACTAGTACACTGTAGCTACTATACACTGCACGACACGAGCCCACGCAGCGCGACGTTATATAGATAGATTGTCATGACGACATCGTCCCCGCTGCAACTACCGTACAGTTCAACTTGCGTATATGCAGTGTATATATGTACGCTCTAGCTGATGTGGATTTGTTTGGATACCATCCTCGTTAAACTCCACAGTACATGCACTCGTTATGTAATTGAGTTGGGAAAAGAAGCGCGCGTTTCGCTGGAGGCGAGACAAATAATGTATCTACTAAATGATGATAATAATATTAATAAGAGTAATTATTACGATAATAATAATAATGATGATGATGGTAATAATAATAATAATAATAATAATAATAATAATAATAATAATAGCAATAACAATAATATTAATAATAGCAAAGTATGCGTACATTCTAACAAATCACACCCGCTAACGCGCAACCCTACGAGTCTACCCGTCCCAACAAACCCATCATCACATACTCTCACTCATTAAACCCTTACTCTCCGCTGTATCTTCTCTCCATTTTTACATCGGGTTGTTTACCACTATTACTTATAGACTAGGCGGGTGAGTTTACTACTGTCACTCCTAACTAACCACATATAGTGAGTTTACTGCTACCATCTAATAGTCAGTTTACCGCTGTCACTCCTAACCACATATAGTGAGTTTTAACTTTATTACTGTAATCTCGCGCCTCTAAGAGAAAATGTTTCCTTCGGTTGTCGCAGGACGAAAAGCTGTTCACAACCACCAAGCTTCCCGCTAAGAAGGAGATGGAGGACAACCCGAACCTGGTGATCGTAGAGGCGGTTTGCATCACCTGGTTCACGATCGAGTACATGCTGCGTTTCTGGGCGTCGCCGAACAAGTGGAAGTTCTTCAAGGGCACGCTGAACATCATCGACCTGCTCGCCATCATGCCCTTCTACATCTCGCTGTTTCTCATCGAGACGAAGACGACGGAGCAGTTCCAGGACGTGCGTCGCGTCGTGCAGATCTTCCGCATCATGCGCATCCTCCGCATCCTGAAGCTGGCTCGCCACTCTACAGGGCTTCAGTCGCTCGGCTTCACGCTGCGTAACTCCTACAAGGAGCTCGGCCTGCTGCTCATGTTTCTCGCTATCGGCGTCATGCTTTTCTCGAGTCTCGTCTACTTCGCCGAGAAGGACTACAACGACAAATTCAGCTCAATACCGGCGTCGTTCTGGTGGGCCGCCATCACCATGACGACGGTCGGCTACGGCGACATGGTGCCGCGCACCGTGCTCGGCCAGTGCGTCGGCGCCGTCTGCTGCATCTGCGGCGTGCTCGTCATCGCGCTGCCAATCCCGATCATCGTCAACAACTTCGCCGAGTTCTACAAGAACCAGATGCGGCGCGAGAAGGCGCTGAAGCGGCGCGAGGCGCTGCAGAAGGCGCGCCGCTCCGGCAGCATGGTGTCCGTGCACTCGCTCAACCTGCGCGACGCGTTCGCCAAGAGCGTGGAGAGCGTCATCGACGAGAAGAAGAAGTGCAGCCTCGCAGCTGAGCGCGCCAAGGGAGGCGCCGGCGGCAGCGGCGGCGGCGGCGGTGCGGCTGCCTTCAGGGCATACGCTAACATCATCAAGATGAACAACCGCACGCGCTCCGGCGGCGGCTTTGGCGGCGGAGGTGATAGACTGTGCGCGCCCGATTACTACCAGAAGTCTGCGAGCACGGGCGACCTGGTAGACGTGGAGGACCCGGCGGCCGAGCGGCTGTCTACGCGCACGGGATCCGTCACGGTGCAGGTATGCGCGCGCGCGGTTATTTTATTTATTTCGTGTTTGTTTGTTAATTTTGTTTATTTGTTCATTTGACATTTTCTAGCGCCAACATTATAAATATGAGTAAGAAGAATGAGACGAAGAATTCAATGTAGGTAATATCTTCGTATCGTAAATTCATAAACAACTCCATAAACCAAACGATATGAGGATATTGCACTTGCTTTCTGACATTTTGCAATATACTCTGGACTCTGGAGGTTGTACTAATTTAACGCCATCGAAATGAAATCGCGGGCGCATATATACTTCGTAAGGGTGAATTATTCGCCAGAGCACATCGAATCGTAATGCAGCCGCGATCATTCGATTACATGTTTTCTAACATGCCATGTTCTTAACTTCTCCTGCGTCGCTTAGCACCTGAGTAGCACTGCGCCGTTGATTGGTTGCTACGGATGGTTGTTGCGCAGGACGCGATTCTCACGTGACATCTACATTCCCCTGGCGCCATCGTCAGCGTCTCACGTTCCTTCCCTCCTGCCCGCAGGACATGCGGACGTTCATTCAGCGGGAAAACCTCGCCGGACACGACGGCACGATGACCAGACGATACGACGCTCCCGCTAGAGGGCACATCGAGCTGGCCATGTTCAGCCAACCCGAAACGAGATCAGCAGCAGGTGACGTCACTGGCTCCGTAGATATAAGAGCAGCGGACGCTGGTGACACTGCGGGCGTTTTGTTAATTTGCGCACGTAATCACGGCTGTGGCCATGCAGTGCATAGAGTCATAGGGACTCAGGTAGAAAGCGCGCTGCAGACAGGTGCTGCATTACCAGCAAATTTTCCCTCTTACCCCTCTCTCTTACTCGTCACTTTCTCACTCGTCTCTTTCTATCTCTATATCTCTCTCTCGTGCACGTGTGTGTATGTGTGTGCGTCTGTGCGTGGTGTAGTGCGCGCCGCCGCGCGCGCACGTGTGTGTACATGTGATGTGTGTCGCTGTGTGGGGCTGTGCTTGTGTGATGTGTGTGCTGGTGTGCTGTTATCTTGTGGTCGGGACGTGGCTGTGTTGCATATGAGTGCTGTGTGTTATGTGTGCGCTGTGCGTGCTGGGGCGGGTGTGTGTGCTGTGTGCCGTGCCGCGCCGCGCGAAGCGCCGCGGCTGTGTGCTGTGTGGTGTGCGTGTGCCATTGTGGCTGCTCAGAGAGACAGAGAGAAAGAGAAAGAGAGAGCAGGGCCAAAGGGGAAAGCAAAAGCGAGGAAGAACGAGGCCGAGGCGAGATACAAAGAGCAAAGAAACTGTGCGAGCAGTAGAGAGAGAGAGAGAGAGAGAGAGAGAGAGAGAGAGAGAGAGAGAGAGCGAGAGAGAGAGAGAGAGACCTCACTGGCCTATAAAATCGGATCACAAAGCTGCTGCTAATGAGGTTGCCCGTAACGACCACAGGGTGAGTAAGCGAGTCAGAGGGCGGTGCCCCATATCTCTTCCGCTTCCCACCTCGTATATCGTCATTAATAACGCAGCTCTCGCTAGTTTAACTATCTCCCCCTCCCCCCACCGTCTTCGCTCGCGCCACCCGACCGCCGGACCCACGTGAAGTTATTTATTTATTCGCTCATTAGAGGGCGTGCGCGGCGCTTCTATCCCCGCCGCCGCCTACGTTCGTCACTTAACTTTCGCAACGTTATGCAATATTCATGAGTGCTTGTCCATCCAGCTATGCGCCCGGCAGTTTTAACTAATCATGCAGCAGACGTTGCGCTATTTGGGAACGAATTTTGCACAAGGGAGAGATAGTGATCCGCTAGGGGACGGCTCTGATTGGCTAATTTTGTCTCTTATTTATTTTATTTTTTATTATTTTTGGCTAATTTTGTTTTATTTTAGAATTAGGGATAGAGTTAGGGTTAGGGTTAGGGTTAGGGTTAGGGTTAGGGTTAAGGTTAGGGTTAACTGATTTCTATATCCACAACTTATTTCTATATTCACTATCTCTCCCCTGAGACGTACTATTTGGGAACCGAATGGCTGCATGCATGCGCCGCGCATTGCGCATTGTTTACGTTATAACTGCTCTTATGAATTACGGCGCTCATATATTACATATAAGGTTGATGCGTTGAGCGTTGCTGTATGAGGTCCTAATATTATGTCCTAATCAGTACTTACTATACAGGATATGGCACGGCCACGTGACGTGACCTTATAATGTTAGAAGTTTATATATTCACCACTCACTCTCTCTTCTTCGCTCCGTCTCTCTCTCTCTCCTTTTCTCTCTCTTTCTCTCACACACACACACACACACACACACACACTCACTCACTCACTCACTCACTCACTCACTCACTCTCTCTATCTATTTATCTCTCCCTCTCTCCCTCTCTCTCTCTCTCTCTCTCTCTTTCTCTCTCTCTCCATCTAGCTCTCTCTCTCTCCCTCTCTCGCTCTCTCTCTCTCTCTCTCTCTCTCTCGAGATTTACATCTATTACGATAACTCAGTTTCCTATACGCCCCCATGACCTATTGCAGCTCATTAGTTCTGTGACAGTTGATGACAGCTAGCTAGGCTGTAAATCTGAACAGAGGCTGTACATGTATCGCTCATCACTCCCAGGGGCGCTAGGTGGTCATCACACATGTAATTATATCTCGTAAGCTGTAGTCACATTCTCTCTACACTCGCGCGCACGTACGCCGCACGCACTCACACGTACGTACGAACGCCGCACGCACTCACATGCACGTACGAACGTACGCACGCACGCACGCTCGCACGCACGGGTAAAAACACATGCGCGCACGCGCACGCACATGCACGCGCACACGAAGACACGAAGACACACTCTCGCACTGACTACGCGGTTATGGGCTCACGTGGTAACACTGTCTTGCAGGTGACTCTCCCGCCGAGCATGTTGTCAGTCTACCGCTGTTTGACGACGCGCCGCGGCCTGTTTACGTAGAGCGCATAAATGGCATGCCCGTCGCCACGGTGTCCCCCGTCAAGCTAGCCCGGCTCAACCCCAATAGCTCCATCACCGACTCGCCCGGCAGGTACAATATCGGGGCACCGCGCCAGTGGGCGGAACCCCGTTTTAGCGGATCCGATCCAGAGAGAATTCGGGTTTTTTGATTAAGAGCGGGGTTTTCGTCGCGCGCATGTAAATGATTTAATTTTCCCGGCAAAGACTCGCAACGGCAGTGGTTAGCGTTCGTTCTCGCAATTTAATTTACTTTAAGATTTTAATTGTGCCACGATTATTATCGCGATACGCGAAATTTGTTTGAGCGAGCGAGAGGCAAAAATTGATTGCGCCCGAACGTGTTTTCGAAGATAACAAGGAATCGGACTGATCACCCGATCGCCACCGCATTTATCGATTAATTTGCATGTACTTTCGCACGTGTTTCCTTTTCGATTAGTTTTGTTTTTGCGCAGTGCGAGAGTTCCCACGTTCCAAATCTCGAGCGAGGTGCCGGTGCTGCCCTCCGGCGGTAATTCCTCGCCGCCGTGGAACGCGGGTGGCGGCGCCTGCAGATCTCGTCCCGAGCTCGGCCCGCGCAAGTCCCATAGTCCTCCAACAAAGGAGAAAACACATCCGAAGCAACCAAAGAAGCACCACCGCAGCTCTCCCTTCTGCAGTAAAGGTGAGGGGGAGGCGGTTACTCGATCGTTGGCGTGGGGATGTCTTTTATTTCGACCTGGCGTCTAAGGGGGTTTTCGGGGGTAGTCGGGGTTTTATGCGTTTTAGTGTGTATACGCAGTGTAAAAACATTGAGGCACTGGATTGACTATTAACGGCTATAGCGGGCATTGCTTATTTGTTTACTTCCTCGAGAGAGGTTATACGGTGTGGTGCCTGTTACCCGGTTTTAAACTACACTCCCCTCTTAAATGCATCCTGTCGGGAGACAGGAACTGAAGAAAGGTGATCCTTACCTCTATGTAGTCCTGAAAGGAAACGGAAAATTGGAAAATATTAACAAAAAATGTGACCGAAATAATTCTTTTCTCTTATGTGTCCATCTTTAGGTATAAGTGGGCGGGAAGGGATTAGTTCTATCTGGATATGCTCTGTGGGAGCAAGAGTTGAGGAGTTGAGCTGATCCTCGTCTCCCTGATGGGTTCGGGCAGCCTCAATTATCGATCGATAGTTCAAATGTTCGGCGTTGCGTCATCGCTCGCGCACTCTCCTCCCCCCTCTCTCACTCTCGCTCTCTCTTTCGCTCTCTCTCTCTCTCTCTCTCTCTCTCTCCCCTCTCTCTCACGCTCTCTCTTTCTCTCTCTCTCTCTCTCTCTCTCTCTCTCTATTTCTCTCTCTCTCTCTCTCTCTCTCTCTCTCTCTCTCTCTCTCTCTCTCTCTCTCTCTCTCTCTCTCTCTCTCTCTCTCTCGATCTCGAAATCGCATAGTCACTCTCGATCGCTGCATTCCGTTCTTTTCCTGGCGTGTCGGTCTGTCTGTCATTTTATCTTTCTATTTTGTATGTATCTTTGCACGTACGTCACCTAATCACTATATTTCTCTCCTTCGCTCGTTGAGGATAATTACCTAAATATCAAGTGTAAGCTTGATCTCTTTATAGGCATCGTTGTGAATAGGATTTTTCCGCCTCATCGAGCGATATTAATTAGTACGTGGTGTTGATCGATATTACGGGGAGATGCAGGATATATCCCTCGGGCGTAAACATAAACATATCGTGTTTTACATATTCACGTCATCGCAATGTGCTCTGACGAGAGATTCACGAATTTCAAGTTTGAAACACTGTATACTGAATACCGCAATGTCACTATTTTCGCAGTCAGCGAAAAGGTTTCTCTTACGTTAGCTTATGGAAAGTTTATAGAGAGTAGAAATACGAACTCAATAACAGCAATAAGCACGCTCCCGTTTGTCATAACCGTGTACGTAATCCCCCTAAATTTGGTGGCAAAAAACTCGCAATTTTCCAGCTTTCTCCGTAAGCCTCCTTGTCGCAAAAACAGAAAACTCAACGAATGCAATTCCCTTGTTCGCTCTGCGTCTTTTCCATCGCTTAGAGCGCCTGCTATTAAGACATGCATCACGCTGTGCTAGGCTATGACGTCAGAGTCCTCCCATCGGCAGCATCCGTAATTGGGCAGATTCCCGCGGCGGCCACTCGCCGACTCGGGCGTGACCTTCTGCCGTATATCCGCCCACGACCTTCACGTCTGCTTGTGGATCGATATCGGCCGCTCACCGCTCTCCCGCCCCCAACAGATCGCAGTGATCACCGTCACCAGTAAAGCCTTCTCGCACACGAGCTTCCCATCCCTCACCTCACACACGCGCCCTGGTGGCGGCATCTATGCACTTCCTCTCGTCACACACCCTGTGGCACAGTCTATGTACCATACCATCAGGAGTGAATAGTAATTGCGATTATAACTATTAGTAGTCACTCCTGATACCACCATGTCGTCATTAACCTTGTGGCGCAACCAATCAGTATGCACTCCTACTTCTGACACAGCCTGTGGCGCGATCTATGTGCGATACCATCTTCTCGCCACTCATCCTTGTGGCGACATCCACGTTCCGCGTGCTCGTGTGCATGGCTGGGTGCCACCGGCTGCTGCAATCAATGAGCATGAAGGCTGTGGTCTTATCTGGAGTCCTGCCAAATACATCATTGTGCCTCTTTATATATTCCTAGGCGAATCCCTGCGACGTGGTCGTGATTAATGCATGCTTACCCGCGCACGTCGCGTAGCTGTAATAATGATAAAGTTAATAAAGTATTACGATAATTTCTGAATAAATTCCGAAACCAACCATCAATCGCGATCGCTCGAATGCGCCTAACGGTTCATTAATTGATGGCATTTACAGGCGACGGTCTCTTCATATTCCAATCGAAACTAATGCACACACACATACACACACACACACACACACACACACACACACACACACACACACACACACACACACACACACACACACACACTACACACACACACACACACACGCGCGACACGCACGACCACACCACACACACACACACACACACACACACACACACGCACGCGCACGCACGCGCGCGCGCACGTACATATATATCATTATATATTATATATATATTGTATATAATTATATTCTACATATAATTTAGCCAAGAGAAATGCCAGATACAAAACCCACAAGCACGGATGGCATAAAGAACAGGAGAAGTTAAGAGCATTGGAGCCCCCCGTTCCGCGCTGCTGGGCGACAGCGGCCAGAGACACGTGAAAGTGGTGTCCGGGTAGCGGGGATTATCTTTCTCGACAGCTGCAGGCCAGGACAGCCTATCGCCCGGAACCGCTACCGGCCGCACCGGCGCTCAAGATAAATTACAGCCTTCTGTCAATTCTCAGTCTCACCACGGATGAAGGGTGACCAAGGAGTACTGTGGCCTGGCGAGAAGATCAATCCTCGAAGAAGTCGAAGGCCTTCCGAGCGCGAGGCAAGGAGCGACGCTCTCTCCATCTCAGCTCTCTCCTCTCGCGCGCGTTCACGTCCGCGCACTCGGAGCTACGGCGCGCGGCATCTCAGTCATCAGTCATCCTCTCTTTTGTCTCATCTCCTCTGCGCTCCTCTCGTCTCCGCGGCCAAAGCGCGCTTTATCTCTATCGTTACTTATATCTCTGGTGCGTGGGGCAAGACTCTGCTGACTTGGCATCCGGAGTCTGGGTCTCCTGTCTATGGTCTGGCTGTCTGTCTGTCTCAAACAGCTCCTTTGTTCTCAGCCATGTCTTTCCTTTTTCTCTCGCTCTCTGCTGTCCGCTGCACTCTCCTCTCAAGGTCTCGTCTGTCTTTCTCTCCGTATCTCTCGTTATCTCACGGGAAAGGACATCTGTCTCATCATCCCCTTCTCCACTCTCCTCCAGGACCTGAAAGAAAGAGCGTCTGCTTTCTCGGCAGGCTACTCTCTCTCGCCCTCTCCCTTTTCTCTCTCTCTTTATATATATATAGTATATAAGTAAATATATAATTGTAAATTCCTCATTTCCCGCCGCGATGACGGCGCCAATCTTCAGTGTATGTATAACACTCGTACGGCTCCCTGCGTCTACGTCACATCACCGCAGCCGTAGCTGCACGCACGCCCCCCGGCGGTCTACTGTATCGCTTGCAGCGCCGCTACTTTACGCGTTATATGCTAATCATCAGTGAAGCCGCTGTGTGTGTGCGAGTCGCTTCTGCCTGTGTACGTAACCCTAACCCAAACACGAACCCCTAACTCTACCCCGGCACTCCCGTAACGCCTAATCATAACACTAACCCGAAGCCCATCCCATTCTGTAACCCTTATCTAACCCTCACCCTAACCATTACCCTAACCATAACTCTAACCCTAACCCTAACCCTAACCATAGCCATAACCAATAACCCATAACCATAACCATAAACCATAACGCATAACCAATAACCATAACCATAACCATAACGCGATAAACCATAACCATAACCATAACCATAACCATAACCATAACACTTACTCTACCATACCTTAACCATAATCCCAACACTAACCCTAACGCTAACACCAATTAACCTAATCTTAACTGTACGCGTAAACCGCCCAACCTTGACGCGCTTAACGCCTACCGCCCTAACGCTAACGGCCTAACCGAAGCAAGTAACACTAACGGCCTAAACGAGCATGAACGGGCTTGAAGGCCTATTCCTTAGCCTAAGGCTAACCCTAACCTCAACGCTAACCCTAACCCCTTACCATAACGACTAGCTGTACACACTAAGAGACATTGCAGATAATTATATTGTGTCAATGCTGTATAGAGCTGTACACGTACATACACCATCACCGTGTTAATGCTGTAACTATGAGCGGAACAGGCCATACAGACACAACATCACCGTGTTAATGCTGTATAGAGTTGTACACGGTACAGACACCGATCACGGCGTGTTACATGCTGTATAAAGCTGTACCATGTACGGGCAAACCCCATCACCGTGTTAATGCTGTAATTAGAGCTGTACATGTACAGCCCGACCATAACCGTAGTTAATGCTGTATAGAGTTGTATCATGTAGCCGACACCATCACCGTGTTAATCGTATAGAAGTTGTAATGTACGCGCGACACCATCACCGTGTTCAATGCTGTATAACGAGTCTGTACTACGTACAGACACCATAACCGGGTGTTACATCTGTATAGAGTGTACACGTATCAGACACCATAACCGTCGTTAATGCATGTATACGAGTTTACACCTACAGACACGCATCACGTGTTTAATGGCCTGTATAGAGTTGTACACCTACAGAACCATCACCGCTGTTAATGATGTATAGCAGTGTGCTACAGCGTAACAGACACCCATCAGCCCGTGTTAATGCTGTAGTAAGAGCTGTAGCCAGCCTACAGACACGCATCACCGTGTTAATGACTGTATAGAGTTGTACCACCTACAGACACGCATCACCGAGTGTCTAATGCCGTATAGAGTTGTACACGTACAGACACCCATCACCGTGTTAATGCTGTATAAGAGTTGTAGCACCGTACACGAACACGCATCCACCTCACCGTGTTAATGCAGTATAGAGTTGTACACGTAACAGACACCAGCATCACCGAATTATGCTGTACATAGGAGGGGCAAGTATAAAAAAAACCAATATCAAGACACGCCATCGCGTGTTAATGGCTGTAGAGAGCTGTACACCTACAGACACACATCACGTGTTAATGATGTATAGGAGTTGTAACAGCGTACAGACACCATCACGGCGTGTTAATGCTGTCATAGAGCTGTAACACCTACAGACACCATCAAACCGTGTTAATGCTGTACTAGTAGCTGTACCGCTCAATCAGAACAACCATCATCCCGTGTTAATGCGGTATAGAGCTGTACCACCTAAGCACAGCCATCACCCGTGCTTAATGCTAGTATAGAGTTGTAGCACGTACAGACACCATACCGTGTTTTAATGCTGGTATATGAGTTGTACACGTACAGACACGCATCACCGGTGTTAATGCTCGTATAGAGTTGTACACGTAGACACCACACCGTGTTAACTGATGTATAGATTGTACACGTACCAGAAGCCAATCACCGAATTTTAAATGCTAGTACTAGAGCAGTACACATACCAGACACCATCGCCGTGTTCAGATGCTGTAGAGAGCCTGTACACCTACAGACACACCATCACCGCTGTTAATGATAGTATAGAGTTGTACACGTACAGACACCATCACCGTGGTTAATGCCTGTATAGAGCTGTAACACCTAACAACACGCATCACCGTGTTAAATGCTGTATAGAGGCTGTACACCTACAGACACCATCACCGTGTTAATGCTGTATACGAGCCTGTTACACTACAGACACCATCACCCGGTGTTAATGGCTGTATGAGTTGTACTAGCGTACAGACACCATTCCGTGTCTAATGCTGTATAAGAGTTGTTAGCACGGTAACAGACACCATTACCGTGTTTAATGCTGTATAGAGGCTGTACACCTACAGACACCATCACCGTGTCTAATCGCTCGTATAGCAGCTGTTACAAGCTACAGACACGGCCATCACCGTGTTTAATGCTGTATAAGAGTCTTGTACCGTACAGACAACCATTACCGTGTTAATGCTCGTATAGAAGTCTGTAACACGTACAGACAGCCAATTACCGTGTGTAAGGATATATGAGTTTGTACGCACCATACAGACACACATCCCGTGTTAATGCCTGTATAGAGTTGTATCACTACAGACCACCACATCACCGCGTGTTCAATGGCTGTATAAGCTCGTACACCTACAGACAGCGCATCACCGTGTTAATGCTCGTATAGAGCTCTACCACATACAGACCCATTACCGTGTTAATGCTGTATAGAGCTGTACACGTCTACAGACACCCATCACGTGTTTAATGCTGTATAGAGTTGTACACCGTACAGATCACCTATCACCGTGTTTAATGCCTGTAATAGAGTTGTAACACAGCTAGCAGACACTATCACCGTGTTAATGCTGTATAGCAGTTTGTAGCCGTCTCAGACACCATCACCGTGTTAATGCTGTATAGAGTTGTACACGTACAGACACCATCACCGTGTTAATGCTGTATAGAGTTGTACACGTACAGACACCATCACCGTGTTAATGCTGTATAGAGTTGTACACGTATAGACACCATCACCGCATTAATGCTGTATAGAGCTGTACACCTACAGACACCATCACCGCATTAATGCTGTATAGAGCTGTACACCTGCAGACACCATCACCGTGTTAATGGTCCCGCCGTGGTTTACTACAGGTATAATGAGCAGAGGTTCCTCTGATGCCGAGGAGACGCCCAGGAAGGTCGATCCACTCAGCGACTACGGCAAGAAGAAGTCCATCCTAAAGAAGGACTACAGCAGCAAAGTACGCAAGCGCGCGCCATCTGCTATGTGTACGGCGGCTGTTTGTGTGTCTGTGTATGGGGGAGAGTGAATCCGTGATGACGTCACGATTCCATACTGCGGCTGTCTGTAGCGGGGAGTGAATCCGTGATGACGTCACGATTCTGTACCACGGCTCTCGGGAGCGGTGAGTGAAGCCATGATGATGTCACGACTTCATAGTGCGGCTGTGTGTAAAACCCTGGTGACGTCACGGAGCCGATGTTCTAGGAGGGGACGGGGGTGGGGGGGGGGTAGTCTGGGGAAAATGCCAAGCCTCGAGATGAGACTTTTCGTTCTGTCAGGATTTAATTATGTCATCTTTGCTCGGACATGTTGCCTCGAGCGCGCCGCCCTGCCGCCGCTGAGCGCACAGGGCCACGCTGTGACGACGATAAAAACCCCATTTCACGCAGGGATACGAAGCTAACTAGCCGCCGCAGCACCGTGTGAGTATCGATCCGCTGCCGAATCGATGCATTCATGGTTGGCTCGAGCGGCACTGTCTGTATTGCATCATCACGGCCCGGGGATGTTGTTAAATCACTCAAAGAACATTTTTTTCCTACAATCTTTTCCGATGCTTTTTTTCGTGCAGGCGCCTGTTTCACATCGGATGATGTACTCACAGAGCAAAGAAAGCATGAAATCAGCCCAGCCTTTGTAAAGTGCTTTAATCTTATGTAAGAAGTCGAAGGCAATTTGTTATTGTGGATTTGTTTGGGGTCCAAGGATATGCGAAGGACATTAGAACGCGCAAACAGTTGTTGCTATTGTTCAAGGTCACCTTTCCTCTCCATACCCGTCCACCTGAAACCTAAATAATGGCATAATGCGCTGATACTCGACATTAGAATATTACCTTTGTAATTAAAATTCGCGACTAAACCACATGCTCAATTAAACCCACAGTCCAATTCGAATTAAAATGGCTTTATGGTGCGCGTGTGCTCAGCGCATCTCCGAGTGCTCTATAATCTATATAAGTATTGTTGCAATTGTCATCATCTGCAGCTCATCTGCTATGCATTAATAAAATAGCAAGCCGTTATATTATCTAAACGTATAATCTAAATGCATAACCAACCCGTTTTGCTTGTTATTGGTTATTTTAATTTCACTTTCATGTCTCGTATCAAACTCGTATCAAACGAGTTTCTTAAAATGACCTCAAACGCACTGCAAATAGAATGCAGATAAAGGGGTTGTAGCATTTAATTTGATTTAGTGTTAATTCAAACTAGAAATACAGAACTGCTCAGTCCTTGATACAGGTAATGTTAACAATCAGGTAGTGGAGTAGCGATAGAACGGAAGAGAGAGTGTCAATAATGGATTGAGAATAAATGGAGAAGCGAAAAAGTGAAATAGAGAGGGGAGAGAGCGAGATGCGCCGAAACAATGCGAAGGAGAGACAGGGACGTGTGGAGAAGAAGCTGTATTATAACACACTGTAGTATAGACGAAGCATTCGCTTGCTCATTTCGCTCATTTTCATTGCTCATTTTCATATTCAGTTCTCATATTCATCTCATATTCGTTTCATATTCAGTTCTCATATTCATCTCATATTCGTTTTATATTCATTGCTTATTTTGCTCATTCGTTGCATTCGTTGATAAGACACTTCATCATTTTGCACGTCAGTCTCTGGACATTTCTCTTAAGTAAACATACTTACATGCAGCAACCCCCATCTAATATATATATATATATATATATATATATATATATATATATAAGCAAGGCGTTTTTCACTGGCACGCTGCGATATCATCATGAAGGAAACGTGAAACTTCACATTGTCGCGTTTCACCGTACGTTATAGAAATCCGCCGTAACGACGAATGCGGTGCGAGCAGGCGACGGCGCGCGGTGTAAGAGCAAAGACAAAAGGCGTTCTTGTAAACGCATTAAAGATTAATACGCGCCGACATTTATTTTAATAATGTAAAGAAAGTGCAGTTTGAATTTACATTGTAGATATTCCGAGCTCGCTCTAAAAATATAATGATGCACACGAGAGCCAGCGTAAACAATTGATTTATTGTTTACAGTTATTGAATAAGAAGTTGCAAATAACTGAAAGTAATACTGAAACTTGTTACTGAAGTTGCAATGCAATTTCCGTAAATATCTCTGGGGAGTTGCGGAAGTACTGGATATTGCTGCATGAGCGATTATTGTCTCGCTGTTCGCATTCTAACATCCAAAGATACATCATCGTAAATTGAGAACGAAGTATACTTCACTGTGCTAGCTATAGTGCTAACTGGTAGAGCCGACCAAAACCTTTTTAGTCAATAGATATAACCGTAATACGTTTTATGAACGTTGACATTTCACAAATGAGTTTGCCTATGCTTGCATGCGTATACTTCGTTTGTATTATATTTGTTGCGACTAGACGTTCGTATATTAGTGCGTTATCTCGGAGATACTTGGTCTCCCTCTCTGTTTCGTACGTAGATAATTTATTCATTACTATTTACGCGATATCGCAACGCTCCGCTATGTTATGTAATTTGCAAATAGAACACAAAGAACTAGAATAATATTAGAACATGTATGTAGTGATACACACAGCGGTTGTATAGCCTCTGCGGGCATGCCTCCAATGATGACCGTTTACGTTCGGATTTTGTTGGCAGGCTGTAGTTAACATGAAATTGTGATTTTTATTCCATTTCCTATTGCTTTGCGAAGATTTATTGTCTTATTTACTATCATTTTTGTGAAGGCAGGGTTGTTAACTTCGTCTTCCATCGAGAGAGAAGGAAACCGGGAGAGGAATAGAGAGAGAGAGAGAGAATGGGAGGGAAAGTCAGGGGTAGCGAAACATAACAGATTCTGTTGCAGATGCAAATATGCATATACAAACCAAATTAATTTGACATTCATAAGAAACAAGAAGTAATATCAATAATAATCATATTTAATTATGGTTTTTATACACAGTTTTAACATATTAAGAAACTGACGTCTTTTTATTCATTAATGATTCATTTATTAATGTCACTAATGATCTTGATAGCGTTTTTCCTAACACAACTACACACTACAATAATTTGTTAACTTGCTCTGATTGGCTATTGCTTGCTTGCTCGCTTGCGTGCATGATTAATTGATTGATTGATCGATTTATTGATAGATGGATTAATTTATTGATTGTTATTCTTTCAGGAGGAGACCGAGCATTTGCTTCCTGAACGTCTGCAGTCAATGTCGTCGGAGCCGTGGGACTCCGGCTACATACCAGGGGGCGCGCACGTCGCAGCGCTGCCCGTGGCTCAACGCGTCGTCGCCCCCGTGCTTGTGACGATGCTCGACCGTCGCCACGCGCGCTCGCAGTCGTTCTGCACGCAGCCGCCGCACGTGCGCTACGCCGACGACCACAAGGTTCGCTCGAGCAGCATGGAGACCGGAGACACGGCGCCGTCGTCGGTGTGGGACAGCCCTCCAGCGCGGCGCGCTCCCGTCGCTGCTACAGCCGCCGCCGCTTCTCCCGAGGCGGCTGCGAGCGAGGCCGTCGTACTGCCGGACAGGGACACGGTGCCGCTGAATCTCTCAAGTGTGATGAAAGACACGGGCACTAGTCCGCTCGGCAGTCCGCTGTTCCCGCGCGCTCGCACGAAGCCGCCAGCGACGCCGCCGCAGACGCGCAGCGTCGCCACGAGTCCGATCACGAGCCCCGGCGTCGGCCGACGCGACTTCCCCTCCCCGAAGAGTGCTCAAGAGAAGTTGAAGATTATTGGTGCCAAAATCGCGCAGCGCTCCGTCGCCGGCTCCGACAACGATATGCACGACATCTTCGGCATGACGGCCTTCTCGGCGCCCAGCTCGCCGCGCTTAGCCGTACAGGTGCAGCCGAAAGCGCGCAGCTTCGAGCTGGTGCCCGAGCGCGCTCGCATCGCCGACCAGGCGCGCTCTCTGAGCGTCGGCATGAACCCGATGAGCGGACACTCGGCGCCTTCACTCGGCCGCTTGCGCACGCCGCCGCCGCCGCTGAAGGCGACATCTGGCGGCGGCAGGACGCCGTCGCCGCGTCATCGGTCTAAGAACGGCCGGGGCGGCGGACTTCCGTCGTCGCGCGGCAGCTCGAGCGACGTGCCAAGCGTCGTCGTCGTCGTCGGCGGCGGCAGCAGCAGCGAGTGGCGTTGCGTGAACCCGGCCTGCCTCTACAACGCGCGCGCCGCACCGCAGAACAGCGGCGGCGGCGGTGGCATCGCTGACGTCACGTGCGTCTGCGGCATGGCGATGACGTCATCGCAACAGCGCGTCGACCTGGCGGACGCATTTCTGAGCAGTCGGCGGTCGACAGACAACGCTCACTCGGTCGACAGCGGAAATCCAGTCGAAGACAGCGACGGAGCGGAGCAAATCGTCGGAAACGGACTGTCAGCGACCGCGGTCGTCAACTCGGTAGACGGCGCTCACGTCGCGTCAGAGAAGAATGCCGACGCGCTGGCGGTGGAGGGATTCGGAGTGGAGCAGGGCCTATTGTAGCAAACTTAAAGAGGGGGTGTGACGTCATCCAGCCGAGAACGGAAACCGTGAGTCGTTATTTTTTTCCGTAATTTTTATTTCGGGCGTCAGCGGCGGCTGCGCACTTCTTTTGCATTTAATCGCTACAAAGGCTACCAAAAAGTAGAAAAGTGACGTTTTGCAGCTCAAGTGTGGTGTGGTGGACCCAAGCCCTGCACGCGAACACGCAGGGCAAAAATTGCCATTTCGATTACTTTCACACGTCAAAGCGCTATTATATATGTCGCGGGCAATTTCTGCAATTTCCCTCCATATTGTTTGGGGCAAGCGGTCCCCCGCCGTTTCAGCATTCCCGAATTCGCTCTCTTTCACAAACAAGTGCTTCCGCAGCGCATTAATGCGACGCTGACGGTGGAGTTAACTTTAACACTTTCTCCATCCAAGCGTGAGCTCAAAATGTTAGCAGGTCGCATTAAAAGCTGCGCGCATACACGTATAATATATATATATATATATATATATATATATATATAGTAGAGAGAGAGAGAGAGAGAGAGAGAGAGAGAGAGAGAGAGAGAGAGAGAGGGAGAGAGAGAGAGATATGTATATATATATATATAGTAGCTTGAGCGGGAAGCTTATGGTTTCTATGAGGCAAGCGAGCGTGAGACTGGCTGGCCACTTGCTATGGTGTCGCCTTGGCGATGTGGCATTAAGAGACTGCCTGATGAATTTGAATGAAATTCCAATACTGCCGCCAGTCACGGCTATAGAAGCAAGCGAGATGATGCGATGGCTGCGACCGAGTCTGCGATCCGTATCTTTATGTTCGCCACCAAGCATTTCTTCATGAGGTGGGATGGTGGTGGTGGTGGTGGGGGGGATTATGCTGTAAAATGTTTGCAGCGTTATAGAAGTTATTATTGGTAATCACTTGTCAACTGCCAAAAGAGCGTTTCCGTTTTAAATTGTCCTCGTTAAAACTTCCCTCGGGGGAAATTTATCGATTGATTAGGGTTTAGTATGAGAGATAGAGAGAGAGAGAGAGAGAGAGAGTGAGAGAAGTAGCGGAAACACACATCACCATCTACTCCTTCCGCCTACGCGCGCACGCTATTGAATCTTACTCAACTGACGAGGATAAAGAAGCCACAGATAAAACAATTAGCTAATTCGTTACGGCATGGACAAAATTTGCTAGCGGGGCAGGGGACTTTCGATTATTCAACGAGAAAGATTTTTTCTCGCCTACTATATCGCTGCGGATGTAATATTCGCAGAGACCACGAATGAATTACCGGCTGATGGCGCCACTGTTCCCCGGGCGATTCCGGCAAGTCGTCTGCATGTTCTGTCGGTGTCGGTATCTCCTCTTTCTCGGTGCAGCAGCTCTTACGACCTCCGCGGTTTCGGTAGTCAGCCGACGGACACTTTATCAATATTGACAGGGACACTGTCTGACCACGCCGCCTCCTCGCAAATAACCACGGGCGAGCTATAATTGAATTTACGTCGGAAAGAGCGTGGTGTAGATCGAACCCCATGCTTCAGAGTGACTGCAAACAACGGTGCATCACATCGAGCGAGCACTAGACAGCTAGAAGCCATGCGGCGTTAAAATGTGCAGTGTTGTCATGCTATACGCGCTTCCACACGCATCGTGCGTGCGTCACCGAGTGTGGGCATGCAATTGTGAAAGGCCACCAAAGACTCGCGGCAATGGCACAACGATGAAATCATTTGCCAACCGACATAAAGGGGGATGCCATGCTTATTTTCCTTTGACCCAAATTTCCGTATATTAACTTACGACTTCAAAGGACGTAAAATTACCCACATATCCACATATGCATACACACACGCCCATGCATGCGTGCGCATTCGCATATGCGTCAACTGAACACACACACGCACCCACACACGCGCGCATGCGCGAACGTGCGAAAATTCCCACAAACGTCATCAGAACGTATATCAGGAACTCACGTGCGCACGCGCACGCACTTCTGGTTTGCGATTTTATGTTTTGCACTAGTTGCGTCACGGTTTTCTTCCACCACGCCACGAGATCGACGCTGTCTCTACACGGCATCAAGCACTCTTCAATGAACGGGACGGTGGGGGCACACACGTGAGAACAACCAGAAAGTCTGATTCACAGAAATGTCGCCATTGATTGCTTGTGCCGTGAGAGAAGAGCATTTTCCACGTGCAGTAACACACGGCCGTCTCTTCTAAGGGCATCCCGGCAGCGGCCGCATAAGAGACTACGCTACTGTGTAAGCCAAGGACATTGAATGCACAGGTGGCTGTCGGGTTGACACGTATAAGGGAGTATCGCCCACGCTCCTTGCATGGATGTCTGTGTCTGTGGCAGACAGTGGCGCCATCCACATGAGGCGGTGGATTTGCACACCGTGTGCTCTGAGTCTCATTTCTGACGCTAGCGCCAAGCCCTGCGAATCGCGAGTGTGGCGCGCCGGTCGAATTACACTATCGAATTTTAATTGTTGACTAATGCGTAATGACGATATCAATTCGTAATGTTCTCATGAATTCCCAAGAACTAATTACTAAGTTTAGTACTCGTGGATGGATTACCAGTAGCTCCCGGTGGTTGCGGGCGGGTTATCAGTAGTTCCCGGAACCTGCGGCAGGCTTAGCAGTAGCTTTATGGTTGTTGTAGATAAGCGGTAGAGCAGCCAGATGCCATGCGATCTTATTAGGGCTATCCGTGTGAGCTAACCTTTATCCGGCCTGCGTGACCAGGCGCTGCTTATGATCGGCATGACAGCGTCTGAGTAAATAAGTTATGATACGTTTAGCTCGAGGACAACTCAAAGGCAGATATCCACATCCAAGTGTGGCTTTATGCCACCTCGTCCCCCGCCAGTGGCCTCCAGACCCCGTCAGCTCACTCCGACAATAACCCTTCCGCGACCGAAAATAGTCATTTTTGTTTACGTATTTTAGTAATGCTAAAACAAGTTACCATGGCATATGCCGATTGTATTACCCATAGACATAGATATAGCATTAAATAGGAAAAACAAGACAAACGCCAGCGCAGCACTCGGTAAGTTATTAGTAGCACGTTATAGTGTTGCCGGCGTTATTTGTATGACGGAGGCCTACGGCCACCTATATAGAATTGTAATAATTGTGTATGATGGGGGGCCAAGGGCACATATATAGTATTTGTATGACGGGGGCCTACGGCCACCTATATAGAATTGTAATAATTGTGTATGATGGGGGGCCAAGGGCACATATATAGTATTTGTATGACGGGGGCCTACGGCCACCTATATAGAATTGTAATAATTGTGTATGATGGGGGGCCAAGGGCACATATATAGTATTTGTATGACGGGGGCCTACGGCCACCTATATAGAATTGTAATAATTGTGTATGATGGGGGGCCAAGGGCACATATATAGTATTTGTATGACGGGGGCCTACGGCCACCTATATAGAAT